TTCCTCAATCAAATTAGAAATTGCAGCGCGCTACATACAGATGCAAACATTTTCCTTAACCTCAACATGAGGTTTATTCAATTCGAGGAGCTAAGCGATGAACATCAAACTCCAGTTGAAAACTGGTGCTGGTCAGGTTTTAACCGGGGTCTTCAGCACAAGAAGCAGGATCAATACCACTTAGCCAACTGTCCAGCTGATCTGAGTAGCTCTCAAATCCACAGAGTCATTCACTATACAAATGATGAGTTTTTAGTAAATTAGACACACACACACACACTTGTAGAATTCAGATCACAAATACACATTAAACTCACCTCAACACAGAGCGTAACTATACTCTCAAAATATGGAAAGGGCAACAACATTCTCTATAACATTAATTTAAATGGTCCACCATTGATAGAGCATCATCTACTCAACACTTTGTATACCATCTTAAGTTTTCTAGACAATGTCCTTGGATCCAGAATTCAAATACAGGATTTAAAGAAGCAGTTATGATGGAACATGATAAGAATTGACGCTAATTATGAAACTGAATTCAGAAATTAAGGTTAAAAAAGTTTAGTTGCTTGGTTCTTATGTACATCAAAGTGCACTATTATGCACATGTTGCACCTAGTGATTGTGTATAGCAATCACCACTTCTTGTTGAAGGAACTCAAGATAGGTTTATCTTTAAGATACTTTAGTAATGATGTGCATGGTCAAAGATGATTGTTATAGATTTATCAATTTGCAAATTGTGTACTAAATAAACCTTTTTGTAGGTTCTTTAACATAATTCATTAATTCATTGAGTATACAGATTATAGGCCCGTGGATCAACAATTTAAAGATTTCTGTGTGTGTGAATATGAAAAGAATATGCAAAATATGGAAGAGAATTCTGTAATGAGGGATGAAAGAGGTTATTTGAGGCAGATGGGTTACTGATGTTACATAGTTAAATAGTAATATCACAGATAAAATAATATTTTATGTGTAGGTACTAATATTTACACAGTACTATAATACATAAGTAGTAGGTCTTGCAACAGCACACTTGCATAGAAACAAGCATGCAGTGAAAGACAATTAGTTATTCGGAAAGCTCTTGACGCATTTGGGTTAGAAAGACGTGTATGAATGGACAAAACTGTAATGTGTCCTTATACATGCATTTATTGTAGGAGATTTGATAACATTTCGTCTAGTGTACCTCTGGTTTTTTCCAGAATGTAGGACCATGGATGAAAAAATTGAACTTGTTGTCTTGTCAGAAACTGTAAAGAATACACAAAATCAAATTCTGAAAATATGGATTATAAAGGTCATATTTGATTGCTACATTTAGCAAAATTAGTTAACTTAAATAGTGTAAATCAATGTTAACAGAATTGTGAGATTAACATTTGACCGATATTGATAATCGTAATTTATAATTTCTTTTTGCTAACTTGTAAAGGACACCTTTTTAATGACAGATGTACATAATGACTTTAATAGTAATTGCATTAAGCTGGGTGCTGACTGCGTCATACAATCATAGGCTGATTGTCACTGACAAGATTGTCACTGACTTAGTGACAGTGTGAACAGGTAAAAGTGGTCTCTTGTACGCACGTCTCGGGTGACAAACATTGGACACAGCTGGTCAGTGCCTGGCTTTAAGTAGTTGATGGTGGTGGTTGCTGTTTTAAGCCATAAGGTTATGTTACTTTCAATATGGTATTAGTGTTTTTTATGTGAACTCTGATTGAAGGTTATCTGTAACATAAACTCTACACTTTGATTACTGTAATTTGTACAGATTGTTGGACTATGGCTCAAGGATTTAAAGACTACTGTGTGTGTGAACATGAACAGAATACGAATAAGATGAAAGAGAATTATGAAATCAAGTTGGAAAGAGGTTAGTTGATTTTTAGTGGTATAATTTAAAGCAGGTGGGTGCTGATGTTAAACAGCTCTTAATAATAATATTAATATTACATGTTATTATACTAATATTTACACAGTACATAATACATAATTGACATTTTTCACCAACATACTTGCACAGAAACATGCATGCAGTGAAAAACAGTTAATTATATGCAAGCTCATGACACTTGAACTAGAGATGTGTAATGAACAGATAAAACTGTATTTATTGTAAGAGATTTTATAACATTTTGTATCCCTCTTTGGTTTTCCAGACTGTGAGCCTATGGATAAAGAAAATGAGGCCGTTGTCATATCAGAAAATGAAAAGAATACACAAACTATTGGACCAAATTCTGAAAATATGGTTGAAAGAGGTTAGATTATTTGATTTCTATAGGCAAACGTAATTAACTTAAACAGTCAATAGTACAAATCAAATGTCAATTCATACCTGCCAACCGTCCCGATTTCCGATATCAAAAACACTAAAAAATCAGGACGTCCTTATTTTTAGAATTAAAAAAAAAAAAAAAGAAATCCGACGTCCAAAAACTCCAAAAAAAAATCAGGACGTCCCTATATTTAGAGTCTTTACACTGTAAATGAACGACCTGATCAGCCCACAGGGTGGGTCTTTTTAGGGACGACTGCGGTGCTATCTATTTCCAGCCGCAATTAGCGAGCTGTTTATTTTTAGCAACAGTAAACAACAAAAGAATTTACAAGGATGGGCTTTGTATTCAACTTTACGGCAGAATTTGGAGACAATTCCTTTATTTTTTGTGAGCATTTGTTAAATTAACCAGCATAGGCCTGCTTACCCAATTTAAACCCTGGGACTTGTACACGAAGTTGGGATTATACACAGGGAAGTATGATAATATTTCAGAAAGTTTCCTCTATTATTGAAGAAATAACAAGACCAAGCATCAAGCTAGCATGACAACAAAAACTATAAGTGCTCTTTCAATGACACACAAGCTGGAAATTTTGAATACAGCTATTAAGTGTCATTTGTCTAAATAATGACGTTATGAGATCAGCGAAACAAGCACAATACCGTGCCCTTCATGGTGAAGTCTGCAATTAGGATATATAATTACCATCTTAAAATTGTTTGGGGGGGGGGGAATGTGGCACCAAAGAATGGCATCCCTATTTTTGATATTCGAATGTTGGCAAGTATGTCAATTGAATTCTAAGATCAAATTTGAAAGAGGTTAGCTGTTTTGATAAGATTTTTACAGTACATTATTTATGCACATACACTGTATATTGCTCCCATTCATTTGTAATAACAATTTATAATTTCAGTTTAGCTAAGTTGTAAGGAACACTTTTTTAATTACAAATGTACACAATGACTTTAATAAACAATTTATGATTTCTGTTTCGCTAATTTGTAAGGGACACGTCGGCAGACAAATACAACCCTGCTCCCTGTGAGCACTATATACAGCGCCCTCTGCTGATAGTCAGTGGCACTGTGAACAGGTAAAAAGGATCTGTTGTACGCATGTCGTTGCGTTGCATTCTCCATAGAATCATGTTGGCAGACGAACTAATGACACAGCTGGTGCCTGGCTTTAAGTAGTTGATGGTGGTAGTGGTGGCTGCTATAAGGATTTATCACTTTCAATATTAATATTTGCAAACTCTGATTGAAGGTTTTGTAACATAAATTCTACACCTTGGTTTATATTAATTTATACAGATTGTAGGCCAATGGTTCAAGGATTTAAAGATTACTGTGTGTGTGAACATGAAGAGAATATGTCAAATATGAAACTGAACTCTGAAATCAAGGTTGAAAAAGGTTAGTTGAGTGATGTAATGCAATCAGATGCTGAATAACAAATTTTATCATTAAGCATTTTATCAAGACAAATTTCATGGTCGGAGACACAAATGTTTTTTTTGCAAGCCTGCCCTTCCCTTATGAATGTTGCAAAGGAATATAAATACATAATGGGCTCTTTGAGCCAGGAATTTGAATTTGATAGAAAAGATGTCATTAGAGTTTACAGAAAGACGTTAGTGTGATAAAACCAGGGATTAAATTGTTTAATTTGCTAGTTTAAGTTGTCGTATTCTGGTTTGTAATGTCAAGGCTCTTTAGTAGGTAATTGCTTGGTGCTAGTAGGAGGGGCCTCATGGGTTCCTTTGGTCTGGGAGTCCAATGCTTCCACCAAGGGTCTATATAGTTGTAGCCACTGAATAATA